ATTTAGATGAATTTGTTTCAAGCCTCATGCCATTTGCTTCTGAAGTCATCCTTAGTGCTGTTAAGCTTATTTCTGAATAGAGCTTGCACAGTAGGTTTAGTAATATTAAGGGAGGGCCAGTGGTAAAACGCTGAATTTTTTCTTAATTAGGTAGTTGTTATAACGAATGTGAAAACGAGCCCAAGGAATTGGTTATGGTGTCTAAAGCAAGTAAATTGGGCTTTAACTAACCATCTTAGAAGTCTAGTTAGAGGAAAACATTCTAAGTTTCAAATTCTGATTCATATGTTTGGAGGCATTTGCCCTTTAATCGTGAGATTTTTACCTACCAACTCTCCAGGAAAACCTGGTTGAGCCACCTGTCCTTTCTGGAGTTGGATACTCTAACTAGAATTAGTGGTGAATAAATTGTGAGTTTTTATCATTCAGGAAATCTTTTTTTTTTTTTTTTTTTTTTTTTTTATTTATTTGACAGAGATCATAAGCAGGCAGAGAGGCAGGCAGAGAGAGAGAGGAAGGGAAGCAGGCTCCCCGCTGAGCAGAGAGCCCGATGCAGGGCTCGATCCCAGGATCCTGGGATCACGACCCGAGCCGAAGGCAGCAGCCTTAACCCACTGAGCCACCCAGGCGCCCCTCATTCAGGAAATCTTACTGAGCTTTACTGTAGTGCTGAACATTGGTCTATTTTGGCAGAATGACATACTTATCCAGATTAAGGGGTGGAGAGCCAGTGTATTCTCCACTCCAATTCCCTACTTCCAAAATAGAACCACAGTCTGGTTTAACAAGTTGGCCTACAGTTTCATAATACAGCCCTTACCCTTGTGACTAAGCTCTCTCCCTAGCAGTCTAATTCATCTTAAATTGATGTCTGAAGAGCTAACAATACCTAGGAAAGTGTGTGGACATTATGAAATACAACCCATTTGTGGTTGATTTTTTGTTTGGGGTCAGTAGGTAAACTGAGGCATAGGGAGGCAAAGTGACTTAGTATTTAACACTTAACACAAAATTGTATGTCAACACCACCTTCCTAAAACTTTATTCTTTTTTTTTTTAAGATTTTATTTATTTATTTGACAGAGATCACAAGTAGGCAGAGAGGCAGGCAGAGAGCGAGCCAGGGAAACAGGCTCCCTGCTGAGCAGAGAGCCCAATGTGGGGCTCGATCCCAGGACTCTGGGATCATGACCTGAGCTGAAGGCAGAGGCTTTAACCCACTGAGCCACCCAGGTACCCCCTAAAACTTTATTCTAAGAGTCAGGTTTTTCTTGACCTAGTGAAAGCCTGAGCATATAAAGACTTGGTTTGTTGCAGGGGTGAGGGGAGAGTCGTTTTTTGTTTTTGTTTTTCATTCAGTTCCGGCTCCCCATCATTATCAGCACTCACTGCCTGCCTTGTTCCAATTTTCAGTATCTGTTTCAGTTAGTTCGTGATCCTTGACAGTAGAACATCTATTCTACTGGTATTCTATGGCCTGTAAGAAAGACTTTGGGTTCATTCAAGGAGGGAAGGGAGGGCACATCTGGGAAAGGGTGGAAAGCATGCTGTTCCCAACCCACTGCTAGGCCTGTGCTCCCCATTTAGAGACTAATAGGCTGCTTAGACTGTTATCTCCACCTTAAAATAGTTTGCTTGTCGGGGGGCGTAGAACTTGGGAAATGTGGGAGATGGGGAGAGGGATGTATTCTTAATCGACCACTGAAGTATATTTGGGGAAGGTTGCTGTTGCCTGTCACCTTTGTCTAATCCTGTGCGGTGACTTTCATCCTCGGATTAAAAATTCCGTGTTTCCTGTGAGGCATGTTGTACCAACTTGGGCTGCATAACTCACCTTTGTTTTTTTCCTTCCCTTTCCTTCTTTATCCCCTTTTTTGCTTTTCTCCTCCAGCTGTGCTTCCTGTGTCTTCAGCCTTGAGTGTCACTGCTGCCTTAAGGCAGCCTGAATCTACCCTACCCTCTCCTTGCTCCCTGGCCCCCCAACAGTGCCCTCTGGCAACCCCTAACCAGGCTTCCCCATTCCTTCCTCCCTCTAGTGTTGTCTCAACCCCTTTTGAAGCTCCTTTTCCACAATCATCCTCTGGAACAATCCTTCCTTTGGGAGTTGCCCCTTCCCCCACTGACACCCCAGTTTTCCTACCAAACCTAATAGGGCCTCCCATCTCCCCAGCTGCCTTAGCTCTGGCCTCTCCCATGATAACTCCAGCTGTGAAAGATGCCCATTCCTCTTCAGCTCCCTTGGCTCTGGTGGCCTTGGCTCCCCACTCAGTTCAAAAGAGCTCTACTTATCCACTTAACCCTCTTAATTCACCTCCTTTGATTGCTGGGGCTGAGTCAGGGTCAGTAACATCTCTGTCAACTCCCATTGTTTCCTCAGAACCAAAGACCTCTTCTATTCAAATTCCCATGCAAGTAGGCCCTAATCTAAAAGGCACCCCTATCCCTCCAGGTATAGTCAGTGCTGTTCCTTCCCATCTTGGAACTCCCTTGGCCTCTGTTCAGTCTGGAGCAGCCGCATGTCCTCAAATGCCACCCACCACTACCCCAGCCGTCACTCCCCCTCAGTTCAAAGGCATCCCTGTTTCCTCAGCTCTGACTTCTCCACAAAACCCTGAAAGCCTCAGCGTAAAGGGACCCCTTAATTCACCTGCTACATTACCTCTTTCAACCCAGTCTATATCTGTGGCTCCCAGCGTCACTCCAGTTTTCCTCACTTCTCTGGGCTCTCATCTAGCACCTTTACATCAGGGTTCTCTTGATTCTCCTGTTCGACCCTTAGGTCAAACAGGTCCTAATGTTCTGTCAAATCCTAAAGTGGATGCCATTTCTGCAGCTCATTCTCCCATTGGGGCCTCTTACCCTTCTCAGAGATCTGTAATTTCTCCACTTCCTTCCAGAAATGAGGTGGCTTCTACTTCGGAGGCTCCAGCTTCCCCTCTGGCTCTTTCTATTGAGAAAGAACCCCCTGCTGTCACTGGTATAGCTTCCTTCAGTCCTTCTGGCTCATCAGACTTAGCCACCTCTTCTCCATTATCTCCTACAGCCTGTCTCATTCTGAAAGGCTCTCCTAATGCCACTCCTCATCAGCCTTTGGTGACCCAAATTCCTCCTCCTCCAGGGAGTCCGAGCTTGAAAGAAGCTCCTCTTTCTTCTGTTGGAACTATCCCATTCGTTATGACTAATCCCTCCACAATTTCTGCAACACCTACTACCCTTGAGGTAGCTACTTGCATGTCTCCTCCAGTTTCATCAGATCCCATAAGTAATAAGGACTCAGCTTCCCGCACTGCCTCGGTTATGGCTCCTGGGGCTCCCAAAGAGCTTTCTACTCCTCAAGTAACCCCTCTGGGAATACCAGTCCCCCCTCCTCTCTCATTCTCTGAGAACCCCAAAGGTCTCCCTACATCAGCATTGGTAAAGTTACCAAAACAAGGAAATATCCAAACTGAACTTCCCTCTCTTGGAGCCCCTGTGTCACGAGAACAGGCAGGACTCCCTACCAAGAAAGACTCGACTCTAATACCATTAGTACTGGCAACCCCCAAAAATCCCCCCTCTCCCCAAACTATATCATCATCTCTGGAGATAGCTCTTCCTCCTGAAGCCTCCTTAGCAAAGAAAAGCCTTGTAGAGCCTCTCCCTGTAGTTACGTCAGCAAGTACTGCTCCCTCTCCTCTGGGTGTTAACTCCCCAGCCTCTATAATCAAGACAGACCCCAGTAGTCTGCCTCTCAAAAGTTCTCTCACCACCCCAAGCATAGCTACATTTCCTCTGGAACGTGTTGCTACTGCGGAAGTGGCTCCTGCAGTTACCAAAGGTACCTCCACTACAGCCAGTCCTTTTCTAGATATCTCTTTATCTCATAAAAGCCATCCAGGTAAGAAGGGTAGTTCCACTCTTACTTTACCTGTGGTTCCTCCAGTCTCTGAAAGTTGTCCTGTGGCTCCAGCTGTGACTTTATCCCCCCAGAATGTTTCTGCTTTTCCAGCTGCCATAGCACTAGCCCCAGAAATTCCCAAGTCTGAGCCCTTTCCCTCTCTTCATCCTCAAGGTGCAAAGAAAGTTCACGGTATTTCTCATACCTCAGCATTGGCACCTGTGGCTTCCTCTCCTGAAGGGCACCCAACCAAGGACTCTGGTGCTTGTGCTTCTGTTAATGCATCTTCAAAAGGAACTTACTTAGCTGACTCTCCATCTCCTTTAGGGACTAGTGTGTCTCCTCAAACTAAAAGACGTCCAACCAAGAAGGGTTCAGCTCCTTCTACTACCTTAACCCTTTCTCCTCTTTCAAAAAGTGTTCCTGCTATCCCTGATACTCCTGCTGGAAATCACTCCTCCCCTATTTCTCCAGTTGAAGCGTCCTTTCTTCCAGAGGCCAATCTTTCTTTTCAAGTCCCTAAAGGGTCACTGGCCAAGAAGCATTCCCCCACTCTTTCCCCCAAAGAGACCCCAGGTACCCCACCTCCCAAAGAGGCCTTCACTCCCCCAGCTATAGTTACTTCCTCCCCCAGAGGAGCCCCAGCAACTTCATCCTCCAAAAAGTCACAAGCAGCTCCAGCCCCCAAAAGAGCCCCAGCTACTCCATCTCCCAAAGGGACCCCCACTGCCTCAGCTGTGGCTCCTTCATCCCCCAAAGGGGACCCAGCAGTGACTCCTTCCTCCCCCAGAGGGACCCCCAACCCCCAAGCTGTGGCCCCTCCCTCTCCCAAAGAGTCCCAAGCAACTCCAGCCCCCAGAAGAACCCCAGCTACTCCATCTCCCAAAGGGCCCCCCACTGCCCCACCTGTGGCTCCTCCCTCCCCCAAAGGGTCTCAGGCAACTCCAGCCCCCAAAAGAACCCCAATGACTCCATCTCCCAAAGGGGGCATAGCAACCCCATCCCCTGAAGAGGCCTCTACTCCCCCAGCTATGACTCTTTCCTCTCCCAAAAAGTCCCCACCTACCCAACCTCCCAGAGAGGCCCCCACCTCCCAAGCTCTGCCTCCTCCCTCTCCCAAGGAGTCTCAAGCAACTCCCCCCAAAAGAGCCCCAGCTACTCCATCTCCCAAAGGGACCCCCACTGCCCCCAGCTATGGCTCCTCCCACTCCCAAAGGGGGCCCAGCAACTCCATCTCCCAAAGGGGCCCCCACTGCCCCACCTCTGGCTCCTCCTTCCCCCAAAGGGAGCCCAGCAACCCCATCCCCTAAAGAGACCTCCACTCCCCCAGCTGTGGCTCCTTCCTCCCCCAGAGGGTCTCAGTCAACTCCCATAGAGTGCCCAGCTACCCAATCTCCCAAAAGAGCCCCAACTACTCCATCCCCTAAAGAGAACACTCCCCCAGCTGTGGCTCCTTCCTCCCCCAAAGAGTGCCCACCTATCCAATCTCCCAAAAGAGCCCCAACTACTCCATCTCCCAAGGGGGGCCCAGGAACCCCATCTCCTAAAAACTCCACTCCCCCAGCTGTGGCTCCTTCCTCCCCCAAAGTGTGCCCAGCTACCCAATCTCCCAAAAGAGCCCCAACTACTCCATCTCCCAAAGGGGCCCCCACTGCCCTATCTGTGGCTCCTCCCTCCCCCAAAGGGGGCCCAGCAACCCCATCTGCTAAAGAGACCATTCCCCCAGCTGTGACTCCTTCCTCTCCCAAAGGGCCCCCCACTACCCCATCTATGGCTCCTCCCTCCCCCAAAGGGGGTCCAGCAATCCCATCTGCTAAAGAGACCTCCATTCCCCCAGCTATGACTCCTTCCTCCCCCAAAGAGTCCCCAGCTACCCAACCTCCCAGAGGGGCCTCCACCCCCCCGAGTTATGGCTCCTTCCTCTTCCAAAGAGTCCCAAGCAACTCCAGCAACTCCATCTCCCAAAGGGGGCCAAGCAACCCCATCCCCTAAAGAGACTTCCACTCCCCCAACCGGGGCTCCTTCCTCCCCCAGAGAGTCCCCAGCTACCCAGCCTCCCAAAGGGACCCTCACTGTAGCTGATCCCTCCCCCAAAGAGTCTCAAGCAACTCCAGCCCCCAAAAGAGCCCCAGCTACTCCACCTCCCAAAGGGCCCCCCACTGCCCCACCTGTGGCTCCTCCCTCCCCCAAAGGGGGCCCAGCAACCCTTTCCCCTAAAGAGACTTCCACTCCCCCAGCTGTTTCTCCTTCCTCAAAAAAAGCCCCAGGTGCCCCATCTCTCAAAGGGTCCCTTACTCCCTCAGCTGTGACTCCTTCCCCCAAAGAGTCTCCAGAAACTCCAGCCCCCAAAGGGGCTCCAGGAACCCCATCTCCCAAGGGGCCATCCACTCCCCCAGCTGTGACTCCTTCCTCCAAAGAGTCTCCGGCAGCCCCAGCCCCGAAAGGGACCTCAGCAACTCCATCCTCCAAAAGAATCCCAGGAGGAACTCCATCCCCCAAGAGAGCCCCAGCTACCCCATCCAAAGGTGCCCCCACTCCCTCATCTGAGAGTCCTCCCTCACCCAAAGAGGCCCCTACCTCTCCAGTTTCAGTCACATGTCCCCTAGGGTCCATTGCCCCTCTGGCTTCTAAAGGCCTACCAGTAAAGAAAGGCTCCACAGCTTCCAAAGCAGGACTTGTTGCCCCAGCTCCAGAAAGTATACCAGCTGTCACAGCTCCCTCTGAGAAAGCTCCACTGGCCAAGAAGAGTTCTGCTACTTCACCTTCTGTGTGCCCAGATCCTTCAGCTAAGAATGGTACTAAAGGACCCCTTCCTACAATGGCTCCAGCCCCCCTGACAGTCTCTGCTCAGAAAGTCTCTTCAGAGGCTCCCAAAACCCTTCCTGTTTCTCCATTAAAAAGCAAAGATTCTGCCCATTCCCCAAAGAGCCCTTTGACTCTTCCTCTTGAGTCTGTGACATCTACTCCTCTAGCAACAGTTTCCTCTGAGAAGGTCCTTCCTAAAGCTGGATCAGCATCTATCCCTCCAGCACCCACCCCATCAGTCTCTCTGCCTCTCGCTCCCTCCCCAGTTCCCCCTCTGCTTCCTAAACAGCAATTTCTGCCGTCCTCACCTGGGCTGGTGCTGGAATCACCCTGTAAGCCCTCAGCCCCTGCTGATGAGGATGAGCTGCCGCCTCTGATTCCCCCGGAACCAATCTCGGGGGGACTGCCTTTCCAGTCGGTCCTCGTCAACATGCCCACCCCCAAACCTGCTGGGATCCCTGCCCCAACCCCCTCTGCCAAGCAGCCTGTTCTGAAGAACAACAAGGGTATTTGCCTTGGTTTGCTGTGTGCATGGTGTGTTGCCCACACCCCTCCTGGGGCTACCCACCGTACTAACCCTAGGATGCGCCGCTTTCTCTTGTGTTTGGACATAGAACATAGAACGATAGTTTTTAATGCAAAAGCTCTAGGAATGTGAATCAATCTTGGTTTTCATCACCTCAGATAGTCTGTTTTGAATCATCTTGTATAATATGGTCGAAGCTAACCCTGGATCTGCCATCTTTTTACCTGAATGATCTGACATTGAAAACCAAGACCTATTAGATCTTTTAATTTGCTCTAATCTCTACCACATAACTAACCTTGTCCCTGGGCCTGGGATTTGCTAAAATGTTGGGAAATACAGAACTATTTGCATTTCTTTTCACGATTTAGATTCAGTGATGACCAGTGCCCAGGGGACTCCCTTTTCAAGACTTTTTTCCTAGCCTGAGAATGGTGCAGGTGTCTGCTTTTTTCTCTCAGTAGTCTTTATTGATGCTTGGCTTTTTGATTGAGGTAAACTTAAAATATGTGAATTATATTTGGAAGAAAGGGGAGAGGTCACAGGACAGGCTCTAACAGAGGTGACTGTTAGAACTATAGGTTGGCAGTCTTTGAGAATCTTCAGGCTATGTCGATGAAACCAAATTGCTAGGGTAAGTGGTTTGAAAACAAGGCTAAATGTGTGTACACAACTGCTTCTGGCCTTCCCCAACTCAGTGTAAGGATGAGGGGAAAGTGTCCTCCCTGGTCTGCCTCCACAGTGTGATCTTACTGTTTTTTTCATTTAAATGTATCTGGAGATAACCTTGTCTGCCATAACCTTTTGGAGATGGTTGGGCTATCAGGTAGAATTTGGAGTTACATAGGTCCTTGGTGTTGGCCTGTGCCAAGTGAAGACCTTAAGAGAAAGGAAACAATTACTCTTTATAAACTGCTTGGCTATAACTAGTAATTACCTCTTATTTCTGGGGCTGGGTCTTTAATGGATGTGTACACACTAGTTTATGGCTGAGTTGGAGGCTGTCAAGCTGACTTCATACAAGTCAGTTGGTTTACATTTAACTTTGTGAGGTCTAGCATAAGCCAGAGACCTCTAGTCCACATAGGCTGTGGTGAGGTGTCTTTTCCTTATAATCTACTGTAAAATAGTAAAAGTTAAATTTGTCATCTCAGGGTCTGGAACAGAATCTGACAGTGATGAATCAGTACCAGAGCTTGAGGAACAGGATTCCACACAGGCAACCACACAACAAGCCCAGGTGGGTGTTCTCCTACTTGCTGGTCAGAGTACTTGAGTCAAAGAAGCATTGAAGAACAAGGGTTGATCAGAGAAGCTGACTTCAGTATTTGGAACGGTGAACCTTCATAAAGGGAAAACCTCACGGGGATTGTGATATCTAGGCCTTATATCCCAGTTTACTCATAGCTGTTTTCTTTCTTCAGCTGGCAGCAGCCGCTGAAATTGACGAAGAACCAGTCAGTAAAGCAAAACAGAGCCGGAGTGAAAAGAAGGCACGGAAGGTAAGTTTTTAAGTTATGAACAAGGATTAAAGTTTCTGATGAAGCAGCTTTAGAGAGGGGGAACTGTAATGGTAGACTCATATTCATAGTGATAGAAATTACTATGGCAAAAAAAAAAATCAGGAGTCCTGGAAGCCAATTCTGTATTATCAAGTTAGCCTAGGAGAAGGCTTTGCTTTGTTTTCATTTGTTTTGTTACTTTTTTTCATTTAATTAACAGTTAATGTATTACTGGTGTCAGAAGTAGAGGTCATTGATTCATCAGTCTTTTTTAAAGATTTTATTTTATCTATTTGAGACCGCACAAGCCAGGAGGAGGGTTAGAGGGAGAGGGAAAAGCAGACTTAGGGAGCCCGATATGGGGCCCGATCCTGTCCTAGGATCGCAACTTGAGCCAAAGGCAGACGTCCAACCAACTAAGCCACCCATGCGCCCCAATTCATCAGTCTTCTGTAATACCCAGTGACCATTACATCATGTACCCTCCTTAATGTCAACCCAGTTACCCCGTCTCCCTACCCCCTTCCCTTCCAGCAACCCTCAGTTAAGGCTTTACTTTGGGTATAGTTATTACTATGTTCTTTACCTCCTAAAGCTATTTCTTTTTTTAAGATATTTATTGGGGTGAGAGAATGTGTGCAGGAGCAGGGGAAGAGGTAAAGGGAGAAGCAGAATCCCTGCTAAGTGCAGAGCCTGATGTGTAGGGCTCGATCTTAGAACCCTGAGATAAGAGCCGAAATCAAGAGTTGGACATTCAACCAACTGAGCCACCTAGGTTCCCCTGTGAAGCTGCTTCTGGAGAAGTTGAAAACCTGATGTTCTTTTCTATTCCTTAGGCTATGTCCAAACTGGGTCTTCGACAGGTTACAGGGGTTACAAGAGTCACTATCCGGAAATCTAAGAATATCCTCTTTGTCATCACAAAACCAGATGTCTACAAGAGCCCAGCTTCAGATACCTACATAGTTTTTGGGGAAGCCAAGGTAAAGTTTTCTTGGACGCACTCTAGACCAGGGTTTCTCAACCTCAGCACTATTGATAGTCAAGAGTTAGATAATTCTTTGGTGTGAAATTTGAGGTCAGTTCATTCCTTGTTGTGGGAGGGGCTTTCCTGAGTGTTAGAGATGTTTAGCAGCATCCTGCCTAGATGCGATAACCAAAAAAATCTCTAGACATTTTGGTAGATGTTCCTGGATGACAAAATTACCTCCCAGTTGAGAATCACTGCTTTAGACCTAAACTAGTTCTCTCTGTACAATGATAACATAATCTTAGGGCAAATAATTTAAAGCTATATAGTAAGTTAACCTGAAGTAGCTTTAAAGTAAGAGTTTGGAAAAGATATAAATGATTTATTTCACTTACTGCAGATTGATCTTGTCACATCTGTATTTTCTGCCCTGCAGATCGAGGATTTATCTCAGCAAGCACAACTGGCAGCTGCTGAGAAATTCAAAGTTCAAGGTGAAGCTGTCTCAAACATTCAAGAAAACACACAAACTCCAACTGTACAAGAGGAGAGTGAAGAGGAAGAGGTATATAGGGAAATCTTTTATACTTTTAATCCTCTCCAGATAGTATTTTGTGTTTAAGATTTTATTTATAATATTACATATAATATATTATTATTTGTAATACAAATTTGTTATTTATCCATGAGAGAGAGGCAGAGGGAGAAGCAGCTTGGGGCTGCTTGGGGTTCAGTCCTAGGACCCCAGGATCGTGACCTGAGCCAAAGGCAGACTCTTAACCGACTGAGCCACCCAGGCACCCAGTATTATCTCGTATTGATGGGTGCGTTCTACATTGCTCTAGGCTCTCGAACTCAATTGACTTAAATAGTTTCTGAGTTATATTAAAGAACTAGATTTAAGAGACTCCTGTCTCCAAAGAACTACCAGAATTTTTCTTTGGGTTATTGTGTTTTTCTTCCTTCTCTTAGGTTGATGAAACCGGCGTAGAGGTTAAGGACATAGAATTGGTCATGTCACAAGCAAATGTGTCAAGAGCAAAGGCAGTCCGAGCCCTGAAGAACAACAGTAATGACATTGTAAATGCTATTATGGTAAGTGTCAAAGCCTTTATTCCTTGACTTCTTCAGCCCTGACCAGTTCGGGGTGACTTTCTTTTCTGTACTTAAGATCAGCCAGTTTAGGAAGCTTCATTCCAAAGCCTATTTCGAATTACCTCATATTTAGGGGCCTGAATTCCCAATTTGCCTCTAACTACTTCTAATGATCTCTTTTCTTACAGGAATTAACAATGTAACCATCTGAAAACGAGGACTTTTTTTTGGTGTTTCAAAAGAATAACTGCAGCTTGGTTTGAAATTTGTACTGTTTCTATCATTAATAAAGTTATGGCTTCTTGTTGGATGAACTCAGTGGGTGCTTGGTCTCTTTTCCCTCCTTCCACCCACCTGCCCCCCCCCCCAAAAAAAACATGAAGTCTCTAGAAATGAAAACATGTAATTTACCTTAAGGCCTCAGCTTGAGTTTGAGAAGGTTTAGTGCCGCAGATTCCTCACCTAAGATGTCAGTCTTTTTATCTCTTAAAGATACTATACTAGGCTGTCAGAACTTCCTTGTGTTAAGAGAATACAACTTAAATGTAAGGTTTCTCCTTTCCATATTCTTTCCCACATATTAACTGTTAGCAAATCGTCTTCTGTATTTAATAATCATCAGCCTCTTTTCTGGCCTACAGTCCTTGAATATATATATATGGGACCTCATCTGGCCTCTGGAAAGCAGTTCACAATGGTTACATCTTGATATGTAGGAGCTTGGTACAGGGTTGGAGAGGGTAGGGTGCATAATTAATATGGATGAAAAGACTGCACTTCGTACAAAATGCAGAGGTATGTCATGAAAGGAGTTTTTGACTGTTGCATACAGTATAAACTCTCTGCTGTCAGGCATACACTATAGAAACATTTTAATGTACAAAATAAATTATGATTAGGGTAGCCATAATTATGCTAGGACAATAAGTGGAAAATGAGGCAAACTAATAAACAATGATTAGCCAGTGAATGAAAAATACACATAACTCCATAGAAGTCCTAGGAGAAGAGTAAAGCGTCTGAGTTTGGGTTGTTAGAAAATGGTTTGGGGGAAAAGCAGAAGACTAAAATTTGGAAATGGGAAGGCTAAAAGTAAACGTAGAGGTAAGAATCTTAAATAAGTGATAATACACCTGCAAGGAAGGTTAAGATGAGAATGGATCAGACTAACATGGTAGAAGGCATTGGAGACTAAAGAAGTTTAGCCATTTCTATTCCTGAATTCAAGTTTTTTTAGGTTTATTTAATCTCTTCACCCAACATGAGCCTCAAACTCAAAACCCCTAGGTCAGCAGTGATATGCTGCTCTGACTGAGCAAGCCAGGTGCCCTTGAATAGTGTTTTAACAGATGTGAGTGAAAGTTGAGGACCAAAAACGTTTAATGACTTCCTCCAAAGACAGCTACTCTCTAGGGTCTTTTCATTGTGGTAGGCTGTATTAGTAAGAAGTGGTAGACTATCTGGAGAACCACAAGTTGACATCTGGCTGAGATTGATGACCTGCTTCCATTTTACCAGGGTAGAACAGTTCAGTTGCTGAACAGAACTTCTCAAGGCTGGGATTCCTGGGTGGCTCGGTTGGTTAGGTATCTGCCTTCAGCACAGGTCAAGATCCCAGGGTCGTGGGATCAACTTACATGTCAGGCTCCTTGCTCAACACGGAACTTGCTTCTCTGCCTGCTGCTCCCCCTCTTGTGCAGGCTCTCTCGCTCGCTCGCTTTCTCTGACAAAATACTTAAAAAGTTTTTTTTTAAAAAGGAATGTACAACTAACTTTCTCTATCACAGAATGATAAAATTTTTGGTTCTCAAATTAGGGAATGTATAGGATGAGCAAATTTTTTGAATTACTTTCCTGGTTCTTTTTTTTTTTTTTTTTTTTTTTTTTTTAAGATTTTATTTATTTATTTGACAGACAGATCACAAGTAGGCAGAGAGGCAGGCAGAGAGAGAGGAAGGGAAGCAGGCTCCCTGCTGAGCAGAGAGCCTGATGAGGGACTCGATCCCAAGACCCTGAGATCATGACCTGAGCCGAAGGCAGCGGCTTAACCCACTGAGCCACCCAGGCGCCCACTTTCCTGGTTCTTAAAATGATTAAGTCTCCATTCAAATACTCAATAGACTTTTTTTTTTTTTTTTTTTTTTGGAAGATTTTATTTATTTGAGAGCAGAGGCAAAGAGAGGTCCAGTGGAGGGGAGGGTCAGAGGGAGAGGGAAAAGCAGACTTGGTGCTGAGCAGGGAACCTTGATCCCAGGAGCCCCAAGATCATGACCTGAGCCGTAGGCAGATGCTAAACCAACTGAGCCACCCAGGTACCCCTAAATAGACTATTTAACAATGATATTTTAAGTAACCTTTGACCTCATCTGTTTAAAAAAGGGGGGGGGTACCTGGGTGGCTCAGTGGGCTAAAGCCTCTGCCTTAAGCTCAGGCTGTGATCCCAGGGTCCTGGGATCAAGCCCCACATCCAGCTCTCTGCTCAGCAGGGAGCCTGCTTCCCCCTCTCTGCCTGCCTCTCTGCCTACTTGTGATCTATCAAATAAATAAATAAAATCTTAAAAAAAAACAAAAACCTGATAATCCCAAAACATATAGGACCGTTAGAAGCATTTTGCTAAGAATCTGCGAAACTGGCACTGGTTATTTACTGAATGACCATTCTGATTTCTAAAGGGGAAAGAAAACAGTAGGCCAATTTAGTTAGCCTCTCTGTCTCTCCATGTTTCTACTTTAGCAGATTTTCTTTTTATTTGGGAAATAAACTTCAGACATGCAGGTAAGAACTGTATGTGTACCTGTCATTCAGCTGTTTTATTTTTTTAGAAATTAAACCATACAGATAGGTACAGAGACCCCTTTATATCCTTCCTCAGACAGATTTCCCTCCCTCAGAGATACCACTGTCATGAACTAGTGTTTTATAATTTCTGTATGTAAGTTGATATTCTCTCAATACATATTTATGTACCCAAAGCATTTAGTGATCTACAGACTTTTAAAACTTTAAACAAAACTGTACATTATGTATCATCCTGCAAATTTCTTTTCACTTCAACTTTGTTCCCATGATTTATCTATGATAGAGGTAGTTCTGTTCATTCTCTTTCCAGACCACAGTAGTGTGGCTTGTATCTGTACCTTTCCACGAAATGGCTTTCAAGTTCACCTAGTTGATAATTCCAGTGGGCATTCATGCATAGTCACATTTGTCTTTTAGTCTCTTTAACATCCCTTTGGTTTCTCTTAAATTTGTTTGATCTTTTTTCAAGATCCACAAAATTACTTCCATTATCTGCCTTGTCAAAATTTTCCTTTGTGTTTTTCTGGTTAACACAGCTCATGAATGACACAGTTGTCCGTTTGGTTGTATAAAAAAGAAACCTAGTCTTTCCAACAGATGGTGCTGGGAAGACTGGATATCCACATGGAAAAGAATGAAGTTGGATTCTTACTGGATACCAAATACAGAAATTAACTACAAAAGAATGTAAGACCTAAAATCATAAAACTCTAAGAAGAAAACAGGAGGAAAGCTTCATGCTTTTTGATTTGCCAATGATTTTATGTGATACCAGAAGCATAGGCAACAAAGTATGTAGGAGTGCCTGGCTGGCTCAGTCAGAAGAGCATATGACTCTTGATCTAAGGGTGGTAAGTTCAAGCCCCATGTGATGTATAGAGATTACTTGGAAAAAAAAAAAAGGTAGTGTGGCTCAGTCGGTTAAGCTCAGTCTGCCTTTGGCTCAGGTCATGATCCTGGAGTCCTGGGATTGAGCCCCACGTTGTGCTTCTTGCTCAGCAAATGACCTCTCCCTTTCTTTGAAAAATAAGTAAAATCTTACTAAAAAAGAAAAGGACAACCTACAGATTGTGAGGAAATATTTGTAAAGGACCTATCTTGGTGAGGGGATAGTATCCAGAATATATAAAGAACCTATAGGGGTGCCTGGGTGGCTCAGCTGTTAAGCGTCTGCCTTCGGCTCAGGTTGTGATCCCGGGGTCCTGGGATCCAGCCCCACATCAGGCTCTCCACTCAGCGGGGAGCCTGCTTCTCCCTCTCACACTCCCCTTGCTTGTGTTGCCTCTTTCTATGTCAAACAAATAAATAAAATCCTTAAACTATAGATCAACAACAAAATAAGGACATTAAGCTATATAAAGTAAGCTATATAAAAATAAGCCAGTCACAAAAAGATAAGGATTGTATGATTCCACTTATATAAGGTACCTAGAATAGTCAAATTCATAAGAGACAGAAATAGAATGGTGTTTGCGAGGGGTCAGAGGAGGGAGAGGAAGAATTAATGTTTAATGGGGACAGAATTTCAGTTGGGGAAGATTAAAAAGTTCTGAAGATAGGTGGTGAGGGTTACACAACAATGTGGATATACTTAATCTCACCAAACTATAGACTTAAAAAATGGTTAGGATGGTAACCATTTATGATAAATGCCTAGTTGGGTTTTTTTTTTTAGATTTTTTTATTTTTGGGTAATCTGTATGCACAACATGGAGATTGAACTCAACGACCCTAAGATCAAAAGTCGCACACTCTACTGACTGGGCCAGCCAGGTGCCTCTATGTTAAGTGTATTTTTAAAAAATTATTTTAAGGGAAGAAAAGAAACCTCCATGTCAAACTAATCCTGTCACAGGCTCCCTTCACAGCTGTTCCCTACAATTTTTACTTTCTAAATATTCTCTGTCTATTCCCCCTCTTCATTCCTAATGCAACTGCCTTAATTGAAAACCACGTGAGGGGTGGGCACCTGGGTGGCTCAGTGGGTTAAAGCCTCTGCTTTTGGTTCGGGTCATGATCCCAGAGTCCTGGGATCAAGCCCCACATCCGGCTCTCTGCTTGGCGGGGAGCCTGCTTCCCTTCCTCTCTTTCTGCCTGCTTGTGATCTCTGTCTGTCAAATAAATAAATAAAATCTTAAAAAAAAAAATAAAAGAAAACCACCTGAGGGGTGGGCACCTGGGTGGTTCAGTCAGTTAAGTGACCGAAGCTTGATGTCAGCTCAGGTCATGATCTCAGGGTCATGGGATCAAGCCCTGCATTGGGCTCTCTGCACAGCAGGAGAGATTGAGATTCCCTCTCTCTGTCCCCCGCTTGCTCACTTGCTGCCGCCCTCTCAAATAAATAAGT